GTCGGACGGCGGCTTCAAGTCAAGAACAAGCCATGAGTAAAAATATTCAAATTTCGTTAGCAACAAAATTACAAGAATTATCATCAAGTTTTAGGAAGCAGCAATCAGCTTATATGAAAAGTATGTATTAATTATTCTTTTGAGATGAGAAAATGATCTTTTGAGATGAGAATATGTATAAATATATAATTTTAATTTTAAATTATTAGGACTTAAAGGAGTGAAAGTTCGAAGTGCTGGATTATTTTCAATAGAAAGTAAAGATTTAGATGAAGAAGAGGACTTTGTAAGAAATGAAATATATGTATATATAAATATATGAATTTTAATATATTTTAATATTATAACCAAGAATTTGTTTATTAGGGCTTTTCAAATGATCAACTTACATTAGTAGAATCATCAGAAGCAATGATTTCACAAAGAGAACATGAAATAAATGAAATTGCCAAATCGATACAAACTATAGCAGAAATATTTAATGAGCTTCAAGCGCTTGTAATCGATCAAGGTACATTATTAGATCGTATTGATTATAATGTTGAACAAATGGTAGTTAATGTTAAGGGAGCTACGAGAGAATTAGATCGGGTAAGATTTAAATTATTTATATATATTTGATATTAATCATATATATACGTATAAGTCATATACAGTCATATATCATGTATTAATTATATAAAATTAACTTATAAATTATAGGGAGCCAATTATCAAAAGAGAAATAGAAATCGAAAAATAATACTTTTATTATTATTATTGATTTTTGGGTTGATTATTATTCTTATATTTAAACCTCGTAAACATTAATTTTGAAATCTATTTTACAAAAGATTTATCTATTCATGAACTATGACGATTGGTTCTAATGTATTTTTTTTTTAATCATTCAATTAGTTTTTTTTTTTATAAATTGTCATTTTAATATAATAGATCAGTACTATACATAACACATCAAATACATTTGTTCTTTAATGTACAAAGTTTAAAACGCATTCAGATAGTAATTAATCAATTGCATTTTTTTTTTTTTATCAATTCAGTGCTACAATAAAATACAAGTATATATTTTTTGGGTTAATTGTCAATATACTTTGCGGAAGTAATTTATTTATTTTTTTTTATAACATTAATACTGTGATATGCATTTCTACGTAGTAAGTATACATTTGCACGTGATTAGGATAAATTAAATAGTTCGGATAGTTCGGACTTAACATTATTAATAATAAAGTTTACATGTGTATAGGAAAAGATTTTAAAACAAAAGCACTACAGTATATTATACGGGTAATTATTTTTGAACTCGGACCAATTTTATATATGACGTAATAATATTTTTTTTGGTCTGGATTCAAAAATAATTGTATATACAGTACATATACAGTACATATGCAGTACATATGCAGTACATATGCAGTATATGATGTAAGTGGACATGGAGTACGTATATATAACGATAAACGGGTTCGGAGTCTATATACATTGAAACCGAATGATTACAGAACTACAGAACTATACTAGAAATTCCAAAATCCCGAATCAACTTAAATTCCGATCCAATTACGACATATAAATCATTTGATTAATTTGATTGTTCACTTAAACGCTTTTGTTGAACGATTATTGTTTTACAAAATAGCAAAGAAAAGGAGTTTGAAGGTTTGATTAGGAAATGTATATCTTTACGTATTAACGATGTGCATCTTTAACGTTTTAGGTACAAAAAATATTTAACTAATTCGTATGTACGACATACGTACAGTACTCCGCAAGTAATGGAAAAGGAATTTAATGGAATATAAAAAATTAAAAAATGGGACAATTTTTTTTTATATATTTATATATCAAAAGTTATTATTTGAGTTTAGTAATAATTAATTATAAGTATATATATTTATTTATTTTATTTTATTTAAAAAAAAAAAACTTGCAAATAATTCATCTCCAAATATATTCTCCAAATATATTCAAATATATTCTCCAAATATATTCCTCAAATATATTCCTCAAATATATTCCTCAAATATATTCCTCAAATATATTCTCCAAATATACGTATTAATTGAGTTCAGGAGTTTATCCCCACATACCCAACAAGGTTTATACCATTACTGCATTATTAGTAAATTCTATATAATTTTACTCGATGATGCACGTGACTAAATGCGACTAAATCGTTGGCGTTAACGTTGATTATTAATAACATTAATACTATATACATTAACGTTAATACTACATTAATACTAAACTTTATAACAATTATTCTATTCAGGGGGGTTTATTAAATCTGTATGTGGTACGAGTAATACGATAAGAGAAGTCTTGTATTCTTTTTTTAACATTGTTTATTATCGATATCAATATAGATTTCGAAATTTTTATTCATTCTAATTAGTCCTCATTCAGTTATCTTAAAACACGGGAGTAAACTTTTTGTTTCATGTAAATTTAGTTTATCAGAAAAGAAAAATTGAAAAGTTAAAGATGGTCACACCGATACCAATTCTTTTAACATTGATCGATCTTTACATAAAATTAGTACTATTTTTTTACATCGACCTTTAATTGGTCTTAAATAGGTGTTTGATCAGTTTTATTTACAGCATTATAAAAATGAATCACGCAAGACTTGCATACTATGCATACTATGTAGACCTACCGTTAAGTGGGACAGACAATCTGCTACATCGACTTTATCACGGATGTAATTAATGCCCGTTGACCCTCTGTGTACATAATGCACATAAGCGATAGGGCCGAATTTATCATATTAGGAATAGATCAGAGAAAGGAATATCCTTTCCGATGTGAACTGATCACGACTGATCACGCGTGCGTGTGTATTTTAAAACGTTTGACTCTAACGTTAAACCTTTGGGCTTTGTCATATGATTTGAAAAAAAACAATCACAATCACGTAATTGATAAAACAATTGCTAATGTTTCGTTTTTTTTTTTGTTATTATGTGCAATGTGACAATCAAATGATAACCAATGACGACCAACAAACGAATTTTTATAAAAACATTACGTAAATCACGAACTGGAAAGGCACTGGAAAGGCACTGGAAAGGCACCGGAACGATACTTTGATTTTTTTTAAAAAAAAAAAAATCATTTTCAAAAAAAAAAATCCATTATTCAATTATTCAATTATTCAATTATTCAATTATTCAGAATCAAACCATTATTCAAAAATCAAATCATTATTCAAAAATGGCGCCAATGATGATAAACTTGGAACGTGTATACGGCGTTGCCGTTCATAAACTTCAAAACTCTTATGCAGCACGTGAAGGTGAATTAAGAAGATTCGTGCTGCTACACAACTTTATTCGTAAATTTGAAAATCATGATGATGATTCAAAGAAAGATGAAGAAGAGTGGCTTGATTCTTGCTTAGACGGTCTTGTTGAAGAAGAAGAGGATGGTTATGTATTCATTACAAAATCCAACGATGAATATAAACCATATAATGAATACAATGAATACAATGAATACATGGAATTGTTACAAAATAATGTTGAAATGGACTTTGCTGAAGATATAATGCCCCGAAACCTTGACTCTCATGAACCTACTCATTTTGATCCTGGTGGTGTCCAACGAATGGATATTGACTACGACGACTACGAAGATGAGGATGACGATGACGAAGATGACGATGTCGTCGATACTCCTTCAAATTCTCTAATTGAAGATTCTCCAATAAATTCACCAATGGATTTACCAATGGATTTATCAATTGATTCATACGGACCTCATTTCGAAAAAAGTCGAATATTAACTACTGATGGTGATATAGGAAATGGTTATGGAACTTTGGCTGATAAAGATTTTCACCCATATTGGAAAGATAATAGTATAATAGCTTCACCTTCATTCCTCGATCAAAATAATAGGTCTATCAGCATTCCACGAATATTTCAACGTTATCGTTTGTCTGATGTCTCTTCTCATATTAACACTAGCGCTTTGTTTGACCTGTTGAGTAAAGACCCTCCTCAAAATTTATTAAAACGATCTAAAGATGATCTTGATATGCTTGGTTCCTTAAGTCACAAAGATCTTGACCAAGGTGTTCTAATGGACATAATCAGTATGTTGGAATATCCACTGGGGTGCCCACTTGGTGGAAAAACAAACAGTAACGTAGCTTCAAATGCAAATATTTGGTTCGTGGAAAATGAGTGAAAAAACGTTCTCTTTTTTTTTTTTTTGTAATTAATTTGTTATAAATAACCCCTCCCTACTTTACCCTTTGTAATTTTTATTTTTTTATTCCTTTTTTT